CAAGGGAAAGGGAGGGGGGAGGGTAGGAGCAGGGGAAGAGGAGGAGAGGGGGAGGCCGGTCACAGGCCTCACTAGGCTCGCTGCCACACCACAAACCCACACACAGACCAGTCAGTGGGCATCCCGCCCACTGTGTCCAAACGTCCCTCTCTGGGCTGTCTGAGAGGGTGGCAGACAGCTCCTAGCCCTCCCTGTGCTGGAGAGAACACTGGCTGAGCCACACGCACACGGTGCTCCCTAGATGCAGCATCTTTGGGGCGGATGCGAGAGGAGCATAAACCCTTAGCAGCAACGGAACGCGGGCCATGGAGCAGCAGCACAGGCCCAGACTGTGAGAGGCGCCGTTTTCCTTTCCTGTGGGCGAGTCAGCATCAAGACGGAAAAATAAACATGCGTCTCTGACAAAGCTCAGCTGACGGGGAGCCTCCGCTGTCCCCTCACAGGCAGAGACCCGCCAGCATCGGACCGGTGACCTGTCCCCTGCAGCCAGACGTCGCCTGTGCCTGCCGCGCCCGGCCTGCGGCTGGAAGATGGGGTTCACCCATGGCCATCAGGGCCGACGCAGGCGACGGGCCATTTGGATGTGTGGGCCCCTTATCAGCGTTAACCGGCATAACAATAAACATCGCCATCTCCCAGAGCTAAGGCCCACGGATTACAAGACGTGACTAAACAGATAAAACACACCCACCCATGGAGGGAAATCCATGGGATGAACATCCAAGGGTCCCCCACGCAACCTCATAACCTAAAGGCTGACGGCACCACAGCACAGCCGACCCGGCAGACATGCCAGACACGCGCTGCGCCCACTCCTTCCCTCAGGGGCGCCCACTCCTTCCCTCAGGGGCATGGCCAGGCTGCGGGCGGGAATGCGGGGCTGCCACTCAGGGGCCACACTCCACAGGACGGCACCCATGCGTTGTGCTCAAGGTGAGGCCGCTGCAGTCAGCTCGCTCCTCCTCCCGGGAAGGAGCCCCGGAAGCCAGGCCCTGCAGACGTGTCCCTGGGGCAGCCTCACCAGGAAGCCGCAGCTTTGAACTCTCCCCCGCCTCGCACCCCCCCAGCCACGTGCCCAGTGACACAGGGAAGGTGCTGGGTGTCAATCACCTGGGGACGGGCATGGCTGGCAGAGCGGGTGTGGCCACTGCAAGCCTGAGGACGGGAGTGAATAGTAACCCCTCAGCAAAGGGCTTCCCTCTCAGGCCCCCAGCTCCCGCTGTGCTTGGCTTTTGGCTCCTGGGCCCCCTGGTTTGCTTCCTGCCTGCGTTTCCTCCACAGCCATGTGCCATGCGGACCCCACACGCGATGGACAGTGGCCCACGGCACGCGGACCCCACACGCGATGGACGGTGGCCCACGGCACGCGGACCCTGTGACCCATGGCATGCGGAACCCACACGCGATGGACGGTGGCCTGCGGGGGACACACGCTGAGCCAGCTGGTGCTGGGCTGGACCCGGCTCCCACAGGGACAGGACCCCCTGGACACGGGCTCTGATTCTCACTCTGCTGAAGCCCAGCCGCGCTGCTATGACGGGATGAAGGGAGGGGGCTGTGGAAACCCAGGGGGAATTCCTCGGACATACAGCTTCTACCCCGTCTCATCCTCCCTGGGGGCCTCTGAAATACTGGTTCCAGTGGCACCCCAAGAACCCCACTTCCACGAGCAACTGGGGAGACGAGCCCCTCTCCTATCCTGTAACAAAAAGACGACACATCAGGGGATTGTCAAGGGCGGGGAAAAAAAAAGGACACATATGTAATACTCTTTGTAATACTTTAAGCAATAAAAAAAAAAAAGATGACACATCACCCAATACGCCAAGAAACTGAACAATAATCGAATGTTTGGAAAATATTCAATCACAGGATATTTTCACATGGGTTGTGTCTATAAAATACTAACATTTTCACACGAAGAGCAAATGCTTCTATGCAAAGAGGCAAGAGCCAAAAGCACAGAACCTAGAATGGAACGCAGTGTTCAGGAGCCCGGGCTAGACAAAGATGCATGAGACCAGTCTCAGGGGCAAACCCCAAACCCTGCTGACCCGGTCGCTGACCCCGAGAGGCAGGCAGGTGCAGGAAACAGGGCCACTGTGCCAGGGGGAGCCTGGAGGGCAGGGGTGCAGTTCAACAAAGCACCGAGCCTGGCCCTCCCACCGGACCACAGTCGGTGTGGGAGGATGGGGAACAGGAAGGGCATCACCCCAATGTGAAGGGGGTCCCCCGAGAAGATCGAACACGGCCCTGGGTGTCTGTCACAGTCAGGTTTCCTGACATCCTCTTTGGGAAATCCCTCCAGAAGGTACTGGACTGACTGCCCCCCTCGGAGGGCCTGCAGGCTCCGCTCCTGCTGTGACTGCTGCTTCCCAGAGGCAATCCCCGCCAGCACAGCCGTGAGGCAATGAGCACAAAGAGTGACTGTTTTCAGAGACTCCAGGCATCTCCGCGGCTGGACTGGCACCAGCAGAAACAGAGGGTCTGGAAGCCCACATTTTCCTTCGGTCCCTGGGATCTGGCCGGCCCCTGGCCACCAAGCACCCCTTGCCTTGCCCCCCTCCTTTCCCTTAACAGTAAAAGATGATGGAGTCCAGTCTTTCCTATGATGGACTTGAGAATTAGTTCTCCCATCTTCTCTAGCAAGGCCTTCTCAATCAATAAACCTTTGCCTGCTCCAAACGCTGACTCACTGAATATTGGCCTTTTTTTTTTTTTTTTTTTTTTTAAGCATCAGGTACACGAACCTTGGGCCTGTAATGGAGCCAGTTAGGAGCCAAAACTACTACCTTATTTAGTTATCTATACACTTGGCAATTACTGAACTCAAACCCACCCCAAAATGCATACCTGCCCTCACTATAAACAGTTAAAAGCATGTGCTGCTTGCAGGCTCTGAGGAAGAATTCCAAGGGCCCCAACATACTAAACATATCAACAGCCTCGCAAAGTACGCTGCTTCAGGAAAAAGGCTGTGAAGAACGAGTCCCAGTGATTCTATGCACAAACCAGCCGGGTGTCGAGATGGAAAACGCATCTGTTGGAAAGCAAGCAGCTCAAACTGACAAATGTTCCAAAGGAACCAAGTTCTATCACAGACAAGAACCAGTGAAACTGCTGAGTCGGCCGTGAACCAGGCCCTGTGGCTTCGGGGGTGACAGCGGGAGCCGAGCGAGTCAACGCAGCCACAGTTCAGATTCTTACCACTTACTCAGCGTGCGACGCAGAGTTACTAAGCCCGACTTTGTCAATGTCCATGTCCTCGTCTATCAAACGGAAATACGGATGGCGCACATGGATTTGGGAAAGATGAACTGAGGTCCCACAAACCCATCGAGCACATGTGGGTGCTCACTGTGGGAAGTGGGCCTCTGTGGTCCGCCCCAGCATGGCCGGCTTTTGATGGAAGCGGTCACGGAGTTTCCCCAGGGCACACAGAATGTGGGGAGGAGGGGAGAGGACGTACGAACAAAGAACTGTGCGCGTGGGCCAGCATCATGGAGGAAACTTCCGAGGTGCCCGCCTCAACTCAACAGGGGGAGGTGGGGGCATCTGGAAAACGCCTCAGCCCATTCTCTTAAATGGCCCAATAGGAGAGAGCAGACCTAGGCGACCTATGAGGGAACAGGTGACCATGGTGCTCAGCCAATGAGGAGCCAGAGGAGGGACTGAGTAAATGGGTTGTGCTCGCTGCCCCAAGTGTTTCTGCACAACCGGACGGACACCCACTCTCGAGAGTGCATTAAAGTCTCGTTTCGCCGTACTTCCGTCTCTGAGTCCGTTACTTTAATCCGGACAGGTGAGCATTTCTCACATTATGACGTCACAATGCCTTAATAAATGTAGTTATCATCATCATCTTTATTTTACACTCACAGAAAGTCCTCCACGTGCCAAGAGCAGACAACGAAAACAGCAGACTGCCTGGCACCAAGGACTGGCACCCGGAACAGGAATCTGCCATATTCTCAGTGTCCAAAGGAGCAGGCAGGCTCGAGCCAAGCGCAAGACCAGGAGACACCCCACTGCACATGAGCTGTGCGGCAGCCAGATGCCGGGCCAAGGCCACGATGTAACCAACGGCCCGCAGGAGAGATCACAGCCTTCCTTCTCCAGCCCCAGGACGGCGGCAGGTCTCCGGGAAGCAGCCGACAGCACGACTTCCCCTTCACGTCCAAACAGCCCCTTCCCCGAAGTGTGGCTGCAGGTCAGCTGGGAGGAAGAGACCTGCCAGCAGGGGCCTGAGGGCCAGGGCTGTGGCTCCGCTGACCGCCGTGTTTCAGGAGCGGCCTGTGCTCACGGGGACGCGCACGCTCACAGGGACTCGTCAGGTGCAGACCCGCCTCCTGGGCCAGGCGGGAGCTGAGAAATGGTGGTCAGCGGGCTGCTGTCCTCGGCAAGGCCCCAAGAGCTCAGTCACGAGCTGGGAGCTGATCCCTTCATCGCCCCACTTCAGGCCAGGCACCTCCTCTAAGAACGAACGTGGCCTCTCCACTTAGTGGCAGAATTGGAACAAAACTCAGCTCCTGGGCTGCCAGGGGCCTTTGGGAAAACAAATTCCTCTCTAAGATGTCGCTCGCGAATCTCTAACCACGGATCCTGTTCCAGCCCTGCCCACCGCAGGTCAGCCGCGAGGACATAACAATATTGCCTTACAGTCTCTGCGCCCGCACTGGTCCCAGGAGGGTTATGGTATCTCTAACTGTATTATTTCCCTTTGTCAATTTTCTCTCAGCACAGGGCCAACCAAGCCGGCAGGACAATGTCACATTCTAATTCAAACCAGAGCCCGGCCGTGTGTCCGGCCAGGGAGTCAGCCGACCCAGGGCCACCAAACCCTGCAGCCAAAGAGGCGCTTCCTGAAAGGCTGTCCGTGGAGAGCCTGCCCCCTCCTCTGTGCCCACCGTGCGCTGAGGAGGTCAACAGAGGGAAAGGGCATCGGGCACAGGGCAGCTTCCACGGAGCAGCTCGCCTCCAGGACCCGGAGGCCAGAGCCTCTGAGCAGCTCAGCAGCCGCAGCCAACAATCTGTAAGAAAGCTACTGACTGCAGCTCCTCCTCATCCCGTCTTCTTCCAATAAACGTGAAATGGGCACCTACTAAGTGCCAAGCTCTGGTAAAACTACGCTTCATGGTGGGGACACAGTGAGTCATCATACAGCAGCACCTCGTACCACGGCAGACGCGTGCTCGTCTGAGCCACGAGACCCAGACGGATCCTGCCAGGAAGCAGCGCAGCCCCCAGGACGGGGAGTGCGGGGCAGCGTGGCCCTGGGACAGGTGTGTGGCAGGAACGAAGCACGTGCAGGGCCCCTCTGGCTGCAGCGGAGGTCACATCCCCACTCAGCAGGGGAGGCTGGACTCACCTACCAATCACCAGCGCGGGCAGGCAAGGCACGCCTCTTCCAGCTGCGGTGTCTCATTAGAACAGGAATCACAATGGCGCTGGCAAGAAGTGATCAGTGTGCTTGCCACTGAGACTGGCTGTGACTGGCTGAGACTGGCTGTGACTGGCTGATTTTGGCTGTGACTGGCTGAGACTGGCTGATTCTGGCTGTGACTGGCTGTGATGGGCTGATTCTGGCTGGATAACACTGGCTGTGACTGGCTGAGACTGGCTGTGACTGGCTGATTCTGGCTGAGACTGGCTGAGGCTGCGGAGCTGCTGGGGGGGAGGCTGCCAGCACCCAGCCCTTTTCTGAGACCCACCAAGGAGATGAGGGAGGAGGCGCCCTTACCAGCAGTCTTCCCCTTGTAGAAAACCTTCATGTCCATCAGCCCCGGGAGCTGGCTGGCCAGCAGCGCCACCTGCGACCCGCCCTGCTTGGATGCTCGGAAGATGTTGAGCTGTGACCAGTCGTCCCAGTAGAGGTCGTTCTGAAAAGAAAACGGCGGCTCTTCAGTGTGACTCTGGGCTTCCCTCTGGGCCTCGGCGAGAAGTAGAGCTGCCGGGGAGGGACACCGCCGCCTCGGCCCCTCTGGACCCCACATGATGCGCGTCAGGAGATCATCCAAACCTCAGCCAATACCCACACCGAGGCACTGCCCGAAAGGAAGGACTCAGCCAACACTCACGTTTGCCCACGAGCCCAACCTCCCGTTTGAAATCTCCTTCTCAATGTTGGGAGAACCTTTCATTCTACAGAGTCCACGTGGGGTGGCCGGCCCCACAGGTACAGGCTCCTCGGGGGCCACACAGAGGCTGGGGCAAAGCTTCCCAGAGACGCGGGCCGGAGCTGAAACCAGGCACCGGGCACCTGTCTGCATCCCTCTGAATGGGCTGAAACAAACAGCCTCAAATTCGGAAATGAGTCTCTTCTAGAGGTTAGACTAGCCTCCCTGCAAAAACCCAGCCTGTTCGTCAGCAGGGGACGGGGAGTGCGTGAGGGAGCCCCACCTTGAAGACCGCGATGGCATAGGGGTGCGGGAGGCCGCCCAGGAGGACTGAGCGCTGCTGGCCGCGGAGGGAGACCCGCTCGATGCAGTCCAGGTAGGCATCCGTCCAGTAGACCCACTGCTCGTCCACGGAGATGCCATTGGGCCACTTCACGTCCTCTGACACTAGGGAGCGCACAGCAGAGCCGTCCATGTCGCTCCGGTAAATGCCCGGCCTCAGGTCTCCCCAGTCAGTCCAGAGCATCACCCTGTCCAACCAGAGAACACGTGTCACCAGCTCCCAGGACAGGAGAGCAGGCCCTGCTCCCCGGCGAGGCCCTCCCTCCAGCACAGGGACAGGGGCTCAGGCCCTGCTCCCCGGGGAGGCCCTCCCACCAGTGGGTTATTTCAGCCTTATTATCACAGTATGTAATCAGAATACCTAAACCATTTCATTCCTTGACCCAAAAGTTCCTTTACTGGGCGTTTTCTATGTATATAATCAAGTGATACAAAGGTAACATAAAAATGATGGTCATCATAGCAAAGACTGTTCATACTAGCAAAAATAATTTTTAAATAAAATATGTATGTATTTTTGTGTGTGTATACATATATGTATTTTAATCTGTAGGAAAAGTGATACATTATGATACATACAAAAGAAAATTATGCAGCCTAAAGTCTATAGGTGCTCATATGAAACCATCGTCAAAATATATTAAACTTTTAATATATGGCCCGGCCGGCATGACTCAGTGGTTGAGCATCGACCTATGAATCAGGAGGTCATGCTTAGATTCCCGGTCAGGGCACATGCCTGGGTTGCGGGCTCAATCCCCAGTGGGGGACATGCAGGAGGCAGCCAAGCAATGATTCTCTCTCATCACTGATGTTTCTATCTCTCTCTTCCTCTTCCTTCCTCTCTGTAATCAATAAAAAGAAATTTAACATATGCAGAATGTAAGATATGTACAATACATATCTTAGTACTCTATTTGGCAAATACATGTGTGTGTCTGAGTGTTTTAAAGATATGTGCTTGTATGTGGGTTAAGAAATTCTGAAAGAGACACAACCAACCACTAACCCCTAGAAATGTGAGGCGAAGAGTTAATAGTGAGGAGAAACAAGTATTGTCCACTTCATAAACTTCTGTTCTCTTTTAATGTTTTGAATCAAATGCATAAGTGCATATATTACTTTCAGATTTTTGTTGCTGTTGTTCATTCTCACCCGAGGATGTTTTTTTAAATGTGTGGACCATGCAAGAAATGCATTGCTCATGGACACAGACAATAGTGTGGTGAAGGCCAGGGTGGGGCAGGAGCTGGTGGAGGGGGGCAATGAGGGTAAAAAGGGGGGGCATCTATAATACTCTCAACAATAAAGATAAATTTTAAAAAATAAAACAAATGCTACAGTAAACGTGTGTGTGGTATTAAAAGAAAAAGAATCCTCACACTATCCAATCAGACCTAACTATGTCTACAGAGAAGCTTTAATATTACCTTTTCTTAATATGTTTTTATTGATTTCAGAGAGGAAGGGAGAGGAAGAGAGAGAGAGAAACATCAATGATGAGAATCATCAATCAGCTGCCTCCTGCATGCCCCCTACTGGGCATCGAGCCTGGAACCCAGGCCTGTGCCCTGACCCGGAATCGAACTGTGACTTCCTGATTCATAGGCTGATGCTCAACCACTGAGCCATGCTGGTCAGGCCTTAATGTTACCTTTTGTTGGAGAAACTCCCCACAGATGTGGACATCTGGATGTCTAAGAAATCCGGATACTTGCTGGTGAAAAGTTACTTGACAAAGACTATGGTTTCAAACTCAGGTAACAGCTTATTACAACCACAATCCTGAGAAGCAGCTTTTGCCCAGCAATCTGCATTTCCGTGAGTCTGTCTGCTGCAGCCTCGGACTCACACCGTCTTCCACGGGGCCACACTTACCCCTCCTGGGGCACGAGGGCCAGAGCGCGGGGCCGATCGAGCACAGAGGAATTGACGATCGTGAGCCGGAAGTCACCATCAGGATGAGCTACCTGACAAACATGAAGGAAGAGAAAAGGGCCCAGATGGGTCAGAGCTCCTTGCGGCCTCCTTCCAGCTCCTGCCGGCAGACAGGCCCCTCCATGCCACGCGGTTCCGCTCCGCCTGACCTGGGCAATCTGCCGCTTTTTCTCGTCAGCGTGGCCTTCCTCTGGCTCCCGAGATGCTCCCGCTCCCGCAGAGGCACCAGCACCCTGGCCCTCGCCCAGGCACGGTGACCGGCACCCGCACTCCTGTGTGTTTACTCACTGAACCCGCCTGCTGCCCAGGCCCGTCGCCTGGCGCCACACTGTCACAGAGCAAAGTCTCCACGTCACAGCCTTGCAGTTAAGTCTCCACAGGCTGGTCCCACATTCTCTCGCTTCTACTTCAGCTCCTACGACTTCCGCAAGACCTGTCTCCCCACCGTTCCGAGCCTGCCTGCTTCTGCCATCTCCCTGGGCCTGTCCTCTGCTCTCTAATCAAAGCCTGTCTTTCCTTCAAACTCACCGCAGGGCCCCTCCTCTGCCACATCTTCTGAACACCTTGCTCAATGGGCCTCTAGTTTTACACCAGTTTGCACAAGCAGTGCCTGTGCGAGTGTGAGCATGGCTCTGCCTGCTTCCTGCTGGCCACAGAGCACAGGCTGCACACCGTTAAAGAAGAGAGAGACACGAACAAGACCAGCAGCAGCCCGGCTGGTTGGCTCAGTAGATAGAGCGTCGGCCTGCGGACCCAAGAGTCCTGGGTTTGACTCCAGTCAAGGGCATGTACCTTGGTTGCAGGCTCCTCCCTGGCCTAGACCCTGGTCAGGACTCGTGCAGGAGGCAACCAATGGATGTTTCTGTCTTTCCCTCTCTCTCCCACTCGCTCTAAAAATCAAAGGAAAAATATCCTCAAGTGAGATTAACAACGAAAAGAAGGACCAACAGCAGAGCTCCCTGTGGCAGGCCCTGTGCCCTTCCATTCTCCTCTCACCGCCCCGAGGCAAACCCTCCAGTGACCCTCCTCAGTCAGGGTTCAGCTCAGGTGCTGCGCCCCAAGGCTCCTCTGCCCCTCGCTGAGTGCCGCGTCCCCACTGAGCCTCTGCCCCTCGCTGTGCGCCCCACTGCCTGTCTGATGTTCTCACTGTGCACCCCCACCGCACCTCTCCCCTCCCTGTGTGCGCCCCACTGCCTGTCTGATGTTCTCACTGTGCACCCCCACTGCAGCACGCACCACCACCAGGAGTGGCTGGCCCATTTCCTCATCATTTTGCTTCTCCACTAAACTCTATCCTTCAACTCTAGCCAGCTTGGCTCAATGGATAGAGTGTCAGCCTGCAGACTGAAGGGTTGTAGGTTCGATTCTGGTAAAGGGCCTATGCCTGGGTTGTGGGCTCAATCCCCAGTAGGGGGCGTGCAGGAGGCAACCAATCAATGATTCTCTCTCATCATTGATGTTTCTATCTCTCTCTCCCTCTTCCTTCCTCTCTGAAATCAATAAAAATATATTTAAAAAATAAAAAATAAACAAAAAAATAAACTCTATCCCTCACCTGAGCCCACATGCCTGGCCTCCACTGTGTCATCACAAGGCGAAGCTGCTCCTGGCAGGTACCACGCACTCGGAAAGCATTGCATTTGCCAATGGCTGACGGATGCATGAACCTGAGGCCAAGCCCTCGGCCGCTGGAATACAGGGGGAGCCCAGGCCTACCTCTCACCTGCGCTCATGTCTTGCAACCTCCCTGGGCTCTGTGGCCACCTGCTTCCCCTTGCCCCACGCACCACCCCCACAGGGAACAAGGGTACAGAGGCAGTGCCCACCCCACAGGGAACAAGGGCACAGAGGCAGTGCCCACCCCACAGGGAGTAAGGGCACAGAGGCGGTGCCCACCCCACAGGGAGTAAGGGCACAGAGGCAGTGTCCACCCCACAGGGAACAAGGGCACAGAGGCAGTGCCCACCCCACAGGGAGTAAGGGCACAGGGGCGGTGCCCACCCCACCGGGAGTAAGGGCACAGGGGCGGTGCCCACCCCACCGGGAGTAAGGGCACAGGGGCGGTGCCCACCCCACCGGGAGTAAGGGCACAGGGGCGGTGCCCACCCCACCGGGAGTAAGGGCACAGGGGCGGTGCCCACCCCACCGGGAGTAAGGGCACAGGGGCGGTGCCCACCCCACCGGGAGTAAGGGCACAGGGGCGGTGCCCACCCCACCGGGAGTAAGGGCACAGGGGCGGTGCCCACCCCACAGGGAGTAAGGGCACAGAGGTAGTGCCCGGCCAGCAGCCGCTGCTCAGCTTCATGTGCCGGGGTCGGCTAAGCTGCAGATGGAGGAAGTGAGGATAACAGGAAGAGCTAGCTACCCTGCTGGGTGTTAGGAGAAGTCAATCAAATAAGTCCTGCCAAGGCTCCAGCAGGGGCGGGCACAGTGTCAGTCTCATCGCACTCAGTGACGATGATGGTGATGACGACGATGCTGCTGTCATTGTCACTCTAACCGACCACCATGCTATCAGAGTGCTAATGGCAGAGCAGCATAATGATGCTATGGGCCTAGGCAGTTTGGCTCAGTGGACAGAGCGTCAGCCTGTGGACTGAAGGGTCTCGGGTTCGATTCCTGTAGGGCAGGGCACATGCCCAGGTTACAGGCTTGATCCCCAGTAGGGGGCATGCAGGAGGCAGCCAATCAATGATTTTCTCTCATTGATGTTTCTCTCCCTCTTCCTCTCTGAAATCAATAAAAATATTAAAAATAGTCATGATGATGCTACGATACTATTATTGTCATTGTTATATTCTGTTTCCTCTACCGAATAGAACCTTTCAGGCTCCCTCATGAAATCTGCGGGGCGGGTGCCTGTGTTCTGTTGGGGGCCCTTCGCGGCAGAGACCAGCCCTTTCCTTCCTGCTCGAGGCTCGGGGCCCATCCTCTGCGGCCTGAGAATTCCCAGTAAAACCTGACCACTGGCCCCGTCAGGTCCCGCCGGGCTGGAGTCCGGCTCGCTGAGTAAGGACAGGGGACACACATACCTCAATCTTCTTCAAGCCGGCGTCCACCCAGTACAGCAGCTGGCTGAGCGGGTCGAAGGCCAAGGCCTCCACGGTCTCCAGGCCGGAGCTGATGATCACCTCCTGCCCGGTGCTCCCGTTCAGACAGAGGCGCTGGCGAGGGAAGAAGCAGCAATTGTGTGAAATGCCCGAGGACCTCCGCCAAGTGAGCCCACGGACCGGCGCCCTCCCTCGGCGGGCCTGGCCGGCAAGGGACGGGCGAGAGGCTCTGCACCAGTGAGCTTTCCTGATGAGACAGCGGGTTAAGCAGCACACTTCTTGAGGGTGGACGGCTTCCGTGTGAAGCAGAGAACTAAACAGAACTTCACACTGCAGGGGTCTGCGACCCTGGGCGCCGCCCCGCAGTCAGGGCTGGGGCAGGCGCTGTTCGCTCTTCAGATAAGCGACGCAGGCTGGCATTACTGTTGAGCCCCTCTGTCTGCTTTTCATAGTCCCTCCCTTGCGAGGCTCTTAGCCATCGGGTGCTGTTGTTGGGAGAGACCTCAGCAGTCACCCCGTGCCACCCCTCACACACCCGAGCCCCGTGAAATTTCTGTCGGGTGAGAAGTCCGGATAAACTTGTTGAACTTGCTTTTCTAAAAGGACTGAAGACCCAACAGCTCTGCTTTGAAATGCAGGGTTCAGGCTGTGGCTCTCTGGGCTTGCAGGGACCTGCACAGCCCGCCTCTGTCCTCGCTGCGCCCAGACGCCAACGTGGGTGAGTACACAACCACAGCGAAGTCCGGGACTCCGTGGCCTGGAAGAAGGCGCTGAAGGCACGTGTGTGACAGGAAGTGACTACGCAGCCTGCACGCGGAGTCTCCAATCTTCCCAGCAGGAAAAGTAAGGCGCCCTGTCCGCACTGCATCAGCCAGCCCTGAGGTGAGCTCTGGCACCCACCTCCTCGGGCCATTCGGAAGGAAGCGTATCAATCGGGCAATGCAAGCACGGCCCCCAGGACCACTCACCTGGATGAGGTCCAAGGCCAGGTCGGACCAGTACAAGCAGTTGCGCGCGTAGTCGAAGTCCAGGGCGACCGCGGCCCGCAGGCCGGAGAGCGGCAGCTGCTCGGTGGCGCCCGAGGCCAGGTCGTAGCGGTGGATGGACTTCCGCGTGGCAAACAGGATGAACTCGTTCTCCTCTGCACAGACCACAGACAGAGCGTGAGCCTGGTTCTCACACACACCTCGGAGCCACTGGCATGCGGGGGTCGATAGGGGGTCAGGTGGGAGAGCACAGGCGTCAGGCGGACGGTGGACTGGAGCACATCTCCCGCTTGGGCAGGTTACTTAAGCTCCTGTGGATCTTACAGGAGTTTCTCCTCCGCCACGTGTATCACTTGCTCCTTTTCTTTGTTTAATCTAGACCCCCCCGTAGGCATGCTCCATCATCCAAAATGCTGAGCTCAGCCTCAACGGCATCAGTCACACTTGACAAGGACCGGCAGCGGCCAGCACGCTGCCCATCGGGACTGCCCGCCAGGACTGCCCGCGTGGCACCACCATCATGGGCCAGAGCCACTCGCCACTGAAGACGTGTAGCCAAGCTTTCTAATCCATTTGCTCACCTATTACATATTGTTCACAATGGCATGAGGCAATCTTATCACCCTATTCTATTTTTAAAACAATAATAACACATTTGTTCTTGACTACTGACAAATGCTTTACAACGTAATTATCATAAACTCTATTTCTTTAACAAGTACTTATACACAATCTACAGACTATGTACCAAGCATCGTTTAATCCACATAACTGCATAATGAAAGAACTACTATTAACATAATTTTCAAATCAGAAAACTGAGAGCAGAGAGGTTAAGTGATTCACCCATGGCCACACGACTAGGAAGCTAAGACCGAGGCCTGAGCCGGCGTTGCTATCCACAGCCTCACAGGCGGCCTCTGTGGTAAGTAGATAGTAACGTTGCCATTTTCAAGCTATAGAGAGGCCCGGGATTCCTAGGAGGTTTAATTCATGTCCCATGAATAACTAAAAGAGCTCGAGCCTCTGTCCTGGCTGGTGTGGCTCAGTGGATAGAGTCTGCCTGGGGACTGAAGTCCTGGGTTCAGGGCACATGCCCAGGTTTCAGGCTCGATCCCCAGTGTGGGGCGTGCAGGAGGCAGCCAATCAATGATTCTCTCTCATCACTGATGTTTCTATCTCTCTCCCTCTCCCTTCCTCTCTGAAATCAATAAAAATATATTTAACCCTTTGCGGTCCGATGTTATTTTTGGAATTCAAACAGTCTGGTCCAAATTAATTGACAGGATTGAATGTTGAACTTTTTAATGTTCTTATTGCTTGACGTTGGACCTGCTCCTAGTGCCTGGTCTGTCGAGTCTGCCTCGAGGTTGGACCGAAAAGGGTTAAAAATGCCCAAGCGCCCATCTGGACAATGTGCTGCAGACAGACCCAGTGCAAACTCGAGTCCCTTTGCTGAATGTCTGCACAGTTCCTGGTGGCCCCCACTCCATTCCCCGCCATTCCATTCCCCCCCTCTCCATTCCCCCCCCATTCCATTCCCCCCATTCCATTCCCTATACTAATAATAGCTTAAGGCCATCACGACCTAAACGACCAGACGGACAACCGGTCACCAGGAAGTGAATGGAGCACCTCTCAGTCCTTCCCCTGGTGCCCACAGGCTCCTATCACAGCAAGGGATGGCGGTGGGCAGGCGGGGTGAGGAGGGCAGGGCGAGTTCATTAGCCTCTGGCCCAAGCTGGGCCGGAGACCTAATGACTTTGCCTCTGCCTGGTGGCTGCAGATCAGGCCCAGAGAGAGTCCCGGAGAGAGAGGCAGGGCCTGATCAGCAGCTGCTGCAGAGGCTGCAGATCAGGCCTGGAGATAGGCCTGAAGAGAGAGACAGCTGTCAGTGGGGCCATTCTGGATTTCCCAGAAGAGCCAATGGCTGCCTAGGAGGCGGAGCTTTTGACACTGACTGGCATAGAAACCGACCAATCAGAACCAAATCTGGGTGAACTGCAAGGAGCCAATGGCTGCCTAGGAGGCAGAGCTTTTGATGCTGACTGGCATAGAACCAACTAATCAGAACCTAATCTGGGTGAACTGCAAAGGCAGAACCTAAGGTGAGGGTGGAGGAGGAGTTTTAAGGGCAACAGCTGTTTGGTGTAAGGTGTAAGAAAGCAGTTTAATTTTTTAATGACCAGTTTGGCAGTATAGTGCATATGGTTGGCTATCAGTCCAGATATAGGGATTATGTATTTTTGT